ATGCAGAACACATACTGTAAATCTTAGACCCACAAGAGCGGGTAATCCTTCATCTCTTTTTTATTCAAAATTCAACGTTCGCGCCTGATTTAATTATTCTATTAATAGATTTATGTTTCAATCGATAATCTCCGAAACTTAACCGGTAACTTAAATAAGCTTAGAATCAAAGTTAAAGTCATTTATCATAATTTTTTATCACCTGTTTTTTTTTCTCACTCACTGATGAAACAATAAACAATCATAAATCATGAATATCATGAATACATATCATTCAAATTATAAATTTTTATAATAAATTACAAATGTAAATTAAAAAATAATTATAAAATGTAAATTATAAAATAAAAAATCTAAAAAATCATAAATAAAAATTATATTTTTTATATCAAAATGATACTCCTGATTATTATCTTGTACAATAAAATGTGTATTATAATAATCATAATTTTATAAATTTTTTTTATTCACATTGTTGTTATTTATAAAGTATTCATATGATTAATATGGTAAATAATATTTCAAAAAATTTTTATTCTAAATTAATAATAAATTATCAATAAATTATATTCTGTCCTTGTGATCCATTGTGTTAAATACTTGTTAACATGGTTTAAGCCTGCCTGCATATTTTAAAATAATAATAAAAATATAATAATAATAAAAATATAATAATAATAAAAATATAATAATAATAATAATAATAATAATAATAATAATAATAATAATAATAATAATAATAATAATAAATAAATAAATAAATAAATAAATAAATAAATAATAATATTGTCATATGAATAACTCTATAATAAAATATTTAAATAATATGTATAATTTAATATTTGATTCGAGCGAAAGTATATCAAAAACAATTATTACAATTACTCCAAATAAAATTAAATTTATATTTTACTACACACAATATTTATTTATTTACATGTTCATTAAAAAAAAAATGTAACATTTATTGAATTTGTTTTTAATTTTCCCGTCTTTTTCAGGATTTTAACCAAAAAAGGTTACCTCATGTTCTATTTTCCAAAAATAAAAATTGATACTAAAAATAGTATCATTTCATTTCTCGCCAACACTGGTCAATAGTAAAATAATAATAATAACAGTCGTCTCTAAAGTGTACAAATATCATCTCGCATTATCTACAACGGACAATTACTTACATGTAAAAGAAAAAGAATACAGAAAACTATATTTTCATAATCTTTTTCTTTGTTGTAAATAAAAAAAAAAAAGTACAAAAAGCCACCTGTTTAAAAAAATTATAAAACCAACGTGGTTATCTTTTTAAAACCACCGTGTTGTTTTTTTGTTTCTTTGTTATTTTTTTTTCTGTTTTTTTTTTTTTTTTTTCTGTTTTTTAAAATTTTCTTAGTTTCTATTTTATGACATTTTTAGTAAATTCGTATTTTGATCCATAATATTTACAAAATATTTCACACAATATTTCAAAATATTTCTTAGCAGTAACGTTTTTTTTTTTATTTTAATTTTATTCTTTACGTAAAAAAAAAAAAAATAGGACAGTTAACGAAAAAAAAATATCAAAAATAAATATTATTGTCTTTCAGCAATCATTAAAAAAAAATATTTATAAACATAAAATGACTCAAACTAAAAAAAAATCTACTAAACGCGTTGATAAGAATCATAAAAAAAATAGGTCTTTGAAATCTATCCAACGAGGAGAACAAAAAATTAAGCTCGATATTCATAAAGAACGACTAATTTTACCTTACAAATTACCTTTTCCTCCATCTACCCAGGTAGATGAATTAGTCGCAAAACTTATTTTAAAACCAAAGTTAGCTAGGTTTCCTAATGGGTTCATCCTCTTTCGGAATGAATATGTTCAACTTTTGAAAGGAAAAGGTTTAAATTATCCTATGACTCAGTTATCACCTATGATAGCTGCCAAATGGAAGAAGGAATCTTCGATTGTGAGAGATACGTTTTCTCAAATTTCGAGTGAGGCTGAGAAATTATATGTTCAACATATCGCACAACAACAGTCATCTTCATCACAACAAAATTCTTCGCAACTTTCATCACCAACGGGGACAATGCAACATTTCTCCTCTTCTCCTTCTTTTCCTTCTCTTCCTCCGTCTCCTCCTCTTCCTCCTCATTCGTCATCTTTTTCTTCTTCTTCATCATCTTTGAACGAAATTAATCAAATTAATGAAATTAATGAATTTCTTGACATTAATAATATTAATAACATTAATAATAACATTAATAACATTAATAATAATAATAATAATAATAATAATTTTACCAATAATGACAATAATCCTAATAATCCAAATAATACATTTTTCGTTTATTCTAATAATTTTCCCGATTACAGTAGACTTCTTGACATGCCAGTTCCTTTATTTTCCGAAGAACAACAACAATCTTGGCTTCCCCCCAATTGTTCTCCGGAAAGTAATACTCAAGAAAATTCTAATGAATCTTTTAATGAACAACTCTTTCAAATTATTAATGGAATTGATACGAATGCATTTATACCTACTCCGCCCTATTCTCGAAGAAGTTCAACAAATTATTCTATTGATTCTTTTGAATCCTTTTTAATTAACAACAATTTAAATACAACTACTTCTTCTTCCTCTCCCTCTTCTTCTTCTTCTTCTTCCTCCTCTTCTACCGCTTCTCCCCCTCTTCAATTTTCTTGTCAATCAACTCCAACATTATCGGAATTTTCGGAATTGTCGGAATTATCGGAATTATCGGGATTACCGTCTTACATTAATTTATTAAATGACACTAACAACAGTAATGACAATCGTAATGATAACAATAGTAATGATATTCCTTCAACATTATTAGGAAATTTTATTTCTCTTCCACCACATTCTACTTCATCTTGTAAATCAAATAAATCAAATAGTTCTTCTCCTACTTTTCCTTTAACTCCTACAGGTTCACCATATTATTCTATTGACCTTGAAAATACGTCTACTGTATCTTCTACACCTAATTTGGATAATAACAATAATAATGACAATAATATAAACAAAAATGAACTTTCAACGGACATTTATTGGGTTTACAAAAATAATTTTTTGTCATAGCCGATAGTAGTAATAAAAAAAAATAATAGTAAATATATATATATATATAAAATTCAAGTTTAGGTTAAAAAAAATATTTCTTTTATTTATTTTTTTTTTTTTTTTTTAAAAAAAAACAATGGTTTCAAAAATAAAAATTTTTAATGAAATAAACAAAAAAAAAAAAAAAGAAAAATTGGAATTAGACCTAATACGTTCGTACGCATATCATTACCTTTATATATATTTATTATTATTTTTTTTTTTTAATTAATATTTTTTCTATCTTTTTGTATATAGAAATAAATGTAAAACGTACATAGCCATTTATACACTATTTTTTTTGAAGAGAAAAAATAATTCTTATCAAAAATCGAATTTAATTCTTTATTTTAATTAATTATTTATTATTTATTTTATTTTTTTTTAATTTTTATCAAAGCACAAACACAAATTTACATTAAAAAACACCTTTCTATATAATGACAATATATATATATAAACACATATATGTATATTTACATAATATATTTATTTTTTGCGATCGATCACCTTTTACGTTGATAAATGCAAAAAAAAACGTAGTAAAGCACGCACAGTAGTTAAACTTTATATCTGAGATGTACATTTATACACACAGTATATTTATAATTTAATTATGTTTTTTTTTTACGCGCAGACTAGAATAGTTATAAAATAAGCAATATATAATAATTTAATATATTAATATGCATTATTGGTAAATGTATTTAATTATTGGCATTACCACTTCAACTTCACTTTCCATATATAGCATACAAAACATACACAATATTTTTTTATGATTAACTTAAGCATTTTCTTTTTTTTTAATTATTATTTATTTTTATATATATATTATATTTATATTATGTTTCTATAGAGATTTTAATTTTTTCAAAATAAAGAACATTCCAATCATTAAACAGTAATTCGTATTACGTGTTTCAAATAAAAGATGATTCTAGAAAAGTATTTATTGAAAAATCTATGCAGAACGTAGAACTTTCTCAACATTCGACAAACGTATTTTTTCCAATAAATATATATATATAAATAAGAAATTCCACTATTATTCATAAATTCATTCCAACTTTTTTATACTGAAAAAAATGACTAAAAGAAGATTTGGTTATGAGTAATACGAATGTTTACACTGCAAAATTAATACGAGTGCACATTCATGTTATTATTCTCATGGCAACATAATTTTATCAAAGGGACACAACAGTCATCATCAAATAAATTTTTGCGTGATCCATTTTTAGAATGGTTTCCTTTTTTAAGAGTTTAAATATCTAGAGAAAATAGGCAAGGCGGTTCAATCTGAACTATAAAGATTATGTTACAAAACAAGAAATTGGTTTGAAATTCTCAGAATGTGGAAACGAATCATTTATGGATTTTTATTAATTATTTTAATTTGTTAATATTTATTTATTGTATTTGAAAAATATAGTTGAAACATACATTTAAGTTCAGGTCTGAGTTCAATTATTACAAAGACATAATTATCAAGAAAATTTTCGGGGAGTAAACTTTCGATATACGCCACTTACGTAAATTTTCGTAAATTCTTGAAAAATTTGCAAAAAAAAAGCGATTTATACGACAGGGAGCGATTTTATACTAAAGTATTTTTAAGATGGATCGGAAGCCTTAGTTCCTGGCTACACTGGCTACAAAACATTCCTGTAACATTAATATTCATCGAGATCAAAAATTTTCGTAATATGATATTACGAAAAATTTTTCACCGACGTCCGAATTTAGGCGTAAATATCTCGACGAACATCGATGCTATAGGAAAAAAACTTGTAGCTAGGTACAAGGACTTTCGATTCATCTTAGAAATACCTTAGTAGAAAATCGTTCCCTGTTGCATAAATTGCGAACGAATTCAAAAAACTGATTTTCGCGTAATATTTCGTAAATTTACGCATGAAATGCTATGGAGTAACGCAGGATTCACAACAAAAAACTATGTTTGTTTTAAAATATTTACCGGATGGAGATTTGCATCATTTTATGCATAAAAACTTTGAAATACTTACAAACTTATTATTTAGATAGTATTGTTAGAGGAATTAAAATATTTATGATAAGAAGATTATACATCGAGTGACAAAATTCTTGTTAATAGGAAAATTAATGATATAAAAAATTAGTATTATAATTATAATAACACGGTTATTTCAGATTTAGGATTTAGTCAACCAGCAAACATTGTACGGGAATCTCAAATATATGGAATAATTCCATATATGGCTCCAGAATTATCTAAAAATCAACCATATTCATATGCATTAGATATTTATAGTTTAGGAATGATTATGTGGCAAATGACATCAGGACATAAACCATTTCATGATCAAAAATTTATATTAGATATTTTAGATGGAAAAAGACCAGAAATTACAGAAGATACACCAGAATATTAGGCAAATTTAATGAAAAGATGTTGGCACCCTGATTCTTCTCAACGACCAAAAATAGAATTATGGTTCTGAATATTATGTCAAAAAATGGTATCCAGATAAATTGGTTAGAATTTAATGAAAGCTAAAGACAAACGACGTGAAATGATCAAATCAAAAAAGCCATTTATAAAAAATCCAGGATACTAGCATCCTAATTCTAGATATTATAGCATATCATTAAATTCCATGTTTGAATCTATTAATTCAAAAATATCAGGTATTTAAGAATAGTCTTTATACATGATTTCTATATATCTATTTCAATGACCATTTTGATATAATGGGTTTCAAGTAAGAATTATATTATACTGTATTTAATTTATTTATATTCTTCAGTTATTGATTGATTTCTGATTATTAATAATTTTCCAATAATAGTTCTAATTTGAAAATTCAGACCATAACTCAAGTGCGGAAAATTCTAAAAATATTTTAGATGAATTATACTGCAAGAAAACATTGAAGATCAAAATAAATTTTTTAACAAATTTAATTATTTTTAATTATTTTTTATTAATTTATGTTTTTTACCAAATAGATGACTTTAAGCGAAGAAAATTTGTTGTATAATTAATGAATGTTTTATAGTCGAAGGCAGCGTTGTCAAGGGACACCTTGGGACAATGTTAAGACAAAATTTTTTTTTTAAAAAAAATGTAAATATTACGAATTTTATTATTAAAACCTACTTTGAACTATTAATTAAAGATGTTTAGAATCCATTTTTACATTTATTTATAAAGTTTTAATATCTATTTATAATCTAGTTAAGGATAGGGACAGTGGGACATTGGACATGGACATTGGGACAGCAAAATGTACAATACTGATCGAAGGCATAAATACAATTATTATTAAAATCTATTATATCTTTATTCCAATAAATTATTTATTTTTTATCTTATTTTTATTTTTTTTTGCTTTTACTTCTATCGCATTAGATAATTTCAAATAATTACTTTATAATTTAGTGAAAATTTTATAAATAATTGCACAAGATTCTGTTTTTTCTTTTGCATAGATATCAACGAATATATTATATTACTATTTTACCATACATATTTTTTGTAACAATAATTTGATTATTTATAAAGAAAAAATTGATGATCAAGATAAATATATGACCTAAGAGTCGATTAAATATTCTATTCGGTTAAAGTTCAGTTAAAGAAAGCAAATATTACATTTTCTATAGAAATCATTTAAATTTATCAAATATAACTCGCGTTCAGTTTGTTTGAAAATTACAAATGTAAGGTTTTAAATCTAGCTATTTTAGAATATTAATATATAATTTCTTTTATATATTGACCGTTTGTATTTTAATACTGGGTTAATAATACTGTATGTAAAGTTTAACAGATTTAAAATATTTCAAATCACAGAAATTCAGGGTCGGGCATTTTATTAGCTCAAATTTCTAGTATTTTTTATAATTTAGAAACACCAATTACTTATAGATTTAATGATGTGAAAAATTCACAATCTTATTTCTTCAATCATATTCACTAAAATCATCAAAATTTGTATTTAATATATTTTATTAATACAAAGAATTATTTTACAAGTATTGTGCATAATTTTCAAGCAAACTATAATAAAAATAATGCCACAGATAACTTAGATAATGAATTTTCTTTTTTATGGCTGTATAAAAGCTAAATTTATCTTTTCGACTACTAATAATCTTGATTATTATTTGCTTTTTGGCTTTTTAAATCAGACATTACTTATATTCTTCCGAAATATTTTAGTTTTTTATTCTAAATTCTCAAATTTAAGTTATTATTTTAAGTAGTACTTAACATCTTGGATTCGAATTTGGGATTTGTAGATTAACAAGGTAGATTCTTTTGTATTTATTAAAGGTAGGATCTATATTTTTTTTTATTATCACTTGTCTGACTCCTTTTTGTTTTTAAATACTTGGATTGATGACGAATTCCATGATAAGATTTGATCTATTGATGAATCATTATCTTTTTTAATTTTTGGGATTGATCATGCCAGGGTAAAATATTCATTTTGCAATATTCACATTATATACATACAGTATACACATGCAGTTACTCCGAGAATTGGGCCTTAGTAAAATGAGATTGGTAATACAAATATGCATTCAATATAAAAGTAAAATAAAAATAAATTAGTTAAAAGAAAGTGATTAAAGAAATTTTAGAATTTTTTAAAAAGACTATAACTATATGCATTAACCCGCATACAAGGAATTCTTTTCCTCAAGAAAAAGAATATTCTGAATATTTTCGTAGAATGTACGGAAGAAAATTACCGCCGGTTTCAAAATTTTCTATGTATATAAATCAAAAGCGTTTTGGTAATGTTATGTTATTATTTTTTTTTTATTTTTGTACATACAGTGAGTGATCAAAAGTTAACAGACAGTTGAAAAATTTTAAAAAATGACTAAATTTGAAATGCTAATTGTGCCAGAATGAGTAATCTAAATTGCACAAACTTTTTTTATTAGATTCTGTTAAAATAAAATACTTATATGTAGAGAAATTACACTTCAAATAAAATTGACAAAAAATAATAAATTTAATCTTTAATAATTGTCCGTGCTGGAATTGATGGTTTTAAAGATAAATTCCAATTATCTTATATAGAAATATTGCTATAAATAATACCTACAACTTTAATTAGAATTATTTTTCCTAGTATATAATGAAAGTTTTGATTTTACTTAGACGTGAATAAAAATGACCGAAATTTAAAAAATAAAAAAATCTTTTTACATATAAAAGTTTTTATTTACTAAGCTACTAATAAAATTAATACTAAATAACATTAAAGCTGAGACTATATAGCATCATATGTAAAGTATTCAGATATACTCAGTTTAAATTGAGTGAATAATTAATGATTAGATCTCAGAGAATAATTTTCAAACGTCTGGCATTCAACCATTGATATTAATTCAATTCGTAAGTAAAACTCTAAAAACTTACAAATAATGTTGTTGTTGTATTAATAAATAATGAACTTTAATATGTAGTAATATTTGATAATTATTTTCAGATTTTTTTAGTATCAAAGATAATAAATTTGCCCACCGCACAAATTTCTAAGGCATTATTATCGATCATTTTACTATTGATAAAGAAAAATTATAGTCAATAATGCGAACATCTTCTGTAAAGTTTTAGAATTTTTACTTACGAATTGGATTAATATCAACCGCTGAACACCAGACATTCAAAAATTATTCTCTAAGATTTAATCATTAATTATTCGCTCGACTTAAACTGAATATGTCTGAATACTTTATAAAGATGCTATATTTTCTTAGCTTTAATGTTACTTAATAGCATATTTATTAGTAATTTGATAAATAAAAATCTTTATATGTAGAAACGATTGATAAGAATTTTCATATTTTTTTTAAAATTTTTAATAAATTTCATTCATCTTTATTCAGATCTAAGTAAAATCAAAATTTCACTAGATACTAGAAAACGTGATTCTAATTAAAATTGTAGATATTGTTTCTGGCTACAATTTCATATAAGATAGTTGACATCTTTCTTTATAATTTATCGATTCCAGTATAGATAACAATTAAAGATCAAATTTATTAGTTTTTGTCAATTTTATTTGAAGTGTAATTTCTCTAAATATAGGTATTTTATTTTAACAAAATAAAAAAAAAATTCATATGATAGCCTCAGTATAAGGGATCGAATGATAAAAAGTTTATGCCATTTAGAGTACTCATTCTGGCACAATTAGCGTTTTAAATTTATTCATTTTTTTAAAAAATTTTACCCACTGTATAGTACATACTGTAGTTAAATAAAATTAAAACTTTAAATGCATTTGTAATTAACCTAATATGATTTTAGGAGATAGGTTCGACCTAATTTTATTTAATCGTGTTATGTGAATCATTTCCTTTTTTCCCAAAACATGACCTTATTTGATGAATTGTGTTCTTTACTCAACCTTTCTTTTTTCCTTATTCCTATTTCTAATCCTAATTCTTTTTATTTTTATTTTTATAAGCCTAAAGAGGAATCTCATCCTTTTGATCAAGAGGTTGAGAAATAGGAGGTAAAAAATACCTCCACAAAATCAGGTTAATTAAATAGTTGATTAGAAATAGTGCTGATTTACTAATTTTTTTTTTGGAAATCAAATCGATAACAAGTTTTTTAGAAGTTTATGGTGTGTTTCATCTATAAGCCACAATAAATTTATATAACTTTAAAATGTTATAACTTTTTCTAAAAAAGGAATAAAAAAATAAATTGATAAAAATAATCTACAGATCCTAAGCTTTAATTCTATCAGTTTAATTTTCTTATTTTTATAAAAGTTATTTTATAATAATTTAAAGAAAATATATTTTTTTATATATTTTATTAATAAAATCTTCAGATTTCGGAATTTATTTTTATTTAAAAATAATAAAATAATGTGTAACAATGTTAAATTTTGATTAGATTATTAGATTATCATTAATAGATAATAATGACTCACCCATAATGGGAGATTTTCAAAAAAAAATATGTAATTATGATGAATTTAATAATGATGAAGAATGGGGAAATGATGATGATAGTGGATGGGATGAAGAATCTGATTTAATAAAAGAAAATTCAATATTTGAACAAATAAAAGACAAATTTTTAGAATCAAAATGGAGAAATGATGCTCATTTGGAAAAGGAAAAGCATGGACCTTATTTTTCTGGAAAAACTAAAAATCAATATTTTATGATAAATATGGATCTAGTGGTATGTTTGCAAAAGCAGCAAAAGGAACAGTAAAAATAAAAACTTTTATGAATAATTCAATTCCTGATGATTTTGGTGAGATTTTAAATACGGATTATGACAAATGGAATTATTATAATATAAATGAAAGATTAAGAATTTGAAACTTGAACTTCAAGATCAACAAAAAATATTAACAGTAATGGAATATAATAAAAAATGTGTATTTTTTTTGAATATTTAATAAGATTAAATGAAAATGGAAAAGGAAAAATTAAAGACTGTAAAGAAGCAGCACAATTGATTTTTTATTGAATATACATCATTCAAAGCAAGAACGATTCAATACTGGACAAATTATTGGCTTAAATATAATCACCTTACCTTCCAATAAACTGTCAAGGAAAATATCAAAAAATAATCAGATTAATAGATGATGAAAATATAGCTGAATAATGTCATGCATGGATTTTATCTCAAAAAGAAACAATTACACCAAAAAAATTTAAAGAATTTTTGAACAAAATTTATTAAATAATTCTGGAATTATGAAAAAAACCATAAGTTTGGCAATTGCAAAGTGTCAGTTAAATGTACTTAGTTATTTTTTTCAATCACATAAGCAAGGTATATATTTTATAATAAAAATATTGTTTATAATTTTTAAATACATTTAATTTTTAAAATATATTTAAATTTTTAAATATATTAAGGAACATTTTATGATGGACATGAACATCCTGGTGTTGTCAAGCAATGTAAATTATTTTTGGAGAAAATGTTTGAATATGAAAAATATATAATAAAATATGAAGAAGAAAATATGGAAAAAAATCACCAATTTTGAAATTAAATGAAAAAGAAATATTTTTGTAACTTATGATGAATGCATATTTTATTCTAATGATGGAAAAAGAGGAGTGTGGGGAAAATCTGATAAATTACCATTATGTAAAAAAGGAAATGGGCATTCAATAATAGTTAGTGAATTTTTCAGAAGAATGTGGCAGACTTAAATTAAATTCACAACAAATTCAAGAGAATCCCTCTATATCAAAAGAAGCATATGTTTATATTCAACCTGGAAAAAATCAAAAAGGGTTTTAGACAAGTGAACATTTAATTGATCAAGTAAAAACAAAACCAATTCCAATTTTTGAAACACATTTTCCTAATTGTATTGCACTGTTTGCATTTGATAACAGCTCAAACCATGCAGCATTTAAATATGATATATTTATAGCCAGTAAAATGAATTTAAAGTCTGGAGGTAAACAACCAAAAACGAGAGATAAGATTTTGAATTAAATAATCAATATCAATCAATGATAAATGAAAATGGTGAACCAAAAAGAATGAAAGAAATTCATTTGAACTTGGTATATGGAAAAATTGATTAACTTCTGGTGTAGAGATGAAAATTGAATTGATTTTTGTGCAAGAAAAATTATTTCATTACAACCTGACTTTTTAAGTCAAAAAAAGTGCATTAGAAGAAACTATTATAGAAGCTGGTTACAAATGTGTTTTTTATTCTAATTTCATTGCGAACTTAATTTTATTGAATGGCATTTTTATAACCATTGACCAACATTGGTTAACAGTGTGTTGGCTAACATTGGTCAACATTTATATCACTAACCAATAGAATGTTGGCCAACATTTTTTATTAATAAATTTTTTGCAAACAATAATAAATAGTATGTTAACCAATGCTAGTTAATGCAAATGATTATTAACAATGGCGTTAATCAACATTAGTTAATACAAATAATTATTAACAATAACATTAACATCATCATTAATAATCATTTGCATTAACTAGAATTGATTAACATTATCATTGATAATTGTTTGTGCTAACTAGCATTGGTTAACATACCATTTATTATCATTTGCAAAAATTTATTAATAAAAAATGTTGGTCAACATTCCATTGGTTAGCAACATAAATGTTGGCCAATGTTAACCAACGTACCATTATCCAACTTTGGCTACCATTTAAAAATTTTTTCTGATGCATATACTCATGGAAACTGTAACTATTCATGGTCTGGTTTACAGTGTACTGTTCCTGAAGGCTTAGATACAGTTGATATAATTACAATAAGAAAGGCATGGAGTTATATAGAATGGAATTACTGATAAACTTGTTGAATATGTTGTCAAAAAATATAAATTATATTGTACTATTCCAGATTTTGTAATAAATGAATCAAATAATTTACAAAAATAATAAAAAAATAATAATAAAATAAAAAACAATAATTAAAAACATTAAATAAAAATTTCATTCAATTTCTGTTTTTTTTTTGATACTTTTTTAAAATTTTATATGCCAAAAAGTCACATGTTATTAATCATGAAATTTCAGAAATTGTTGTTTATAGATGAAACACACCATAGTAATAATTAGATTGAAGTCACAACAACAATTAAAGGATTATTCTGATTAAGAGAGATTTGATTTTGTCACAATAGTGTATGCATTGGTTTTTTTTAGTTGTTTAGTTAATTTCTTAATAAAAATTAAAATCAAATCAGATATAATTTGGTCTAACTTAATAATGATTATTAATTTAGTTAATGAATTTTTTTTTAAAAAAATAAATAAAAAACAATTGTGTCCCATTGTAAGTGCCTAATCACATAAGAATGGAGAATCTAAATTTTTTAAAATTAGAGTTAAAAAAAAGAATGAATGAAACTATTGTTATTTAAGTACAATAGTGATTAGTAATTAATGATTATTTAAAATTAGAATAGAATGAAACTATTTTATTTAATCACTATTGTTATTTAACTACAATAGTGATTAGTAATTATCGAAACTAGAATGAACTAATTAATTTGAATTTTTAAAAAAAATTTTTTTTTGTAATCCATTTGATTTTTCAATTATTAAAAAATGCACACTCATATCTGCAATTTGCTTTATAGATTTGTTCACCAAGAATCCAACAAAAAAAAATTTAGTCGTTGGCATGATTCTCCTTGTATATGATTGGACATCTTACTTTTGTTCATGGGTTAGCCCTAGTAAAAATTACTCAAATTAATTTCAGAGTATATGTCCACAAGTGGTGGTTCTTTGATTTTTGCATTCTACCACTCACCATGGAAATTACAAATCCCATACTAAAAACTGTTGGAAGAAGAAGAAAGAATAAATTGGAACCTGGAACCAGCAATGCTAAACCACTGAAGGTACAAATATTAGCATTGATAGCCTTGGGTGAAGCTGAAGCTCTCAAGGATACAACTCAAGTCCAAAAAACTGTATATGAAGAAGAATTTTCATCAAAAGGAAATGGTATAATTAATATTGATTAAATAATAAATAACAAATGTGGCGGTGTATTATTAAATACATGAATAGTTTTTTATTAACATTTTTATTTTATAAATAAATAATTGTAATTATTTTTTTATTTTTTTATTTATTTATAATTAAAACTGATGAAAATAAAAAAACCTGTTCTTCAAAAATTAAATAATCAGCCAATGCAATGAAGTTATATGCACCTAATCTAGTTTGTATTTAAAAAATGGGATCAGATCAGATTGATAATGCAAATGTAACGGGCTTCCCCTTCCTTTAAAATATGCTCTAAGTATAATAGATATTAATTAAATTTAATTGGTCAAAGAATAAGTTTTAAAAAAATCAATTTGATACTATGGAAAATCATGATTGAAGATTTATGTGTTGCGTTTAGCTGTAGCAGAAATATATATTGAAATATCAAAAATCTTAAATATCACAATACTTTAACATGTTAATAAATTTTAGTCTCTAAATGAAAGTGTTTAGCTTAAAATTTACATATATTTACGTTTTTTTGCAATGTTTTGTTATGTGAAACAACTCATTAAGTAGTATTTGATCTGAAACCTGACCTCAAAATCCATTAGAATCATTTATTTCTTCCTAATGACAAATATTGTTGTTTCATTTATTTTATTATATTCATTTGCTTTTTATACTAGAAAGGAAGAATTTTAGTTAATGGTTAAGAGCGTATTGTCTATATACTTACAGTATAAACTTTACTTATAAGCAATTGGCCAAAATGTACAAGGAATTCTTTTCCTCAAGAAGAAAGAATATTCTCATAGAATTTATGGAAGATTATTATTGCTGATTTCAGAATTTTCCATATAAATATATAAAAGGATAGCATGACAGAAGTTCCTTTTGACGGGATATCACTTAAATGATTTTTGTATAATTTTATTGGACAACAATATTTATAATTCTTTTATTATATATACATTATATGTCTAAGTGAAATAAGTTACCATAGTTCAAAGAACACTTTGTTTTATATATTACCCATAACATATTCCCTAGTTATATACTTTTTATATGAACTTCCATTATGCTAATAGAAATACAAGATATTTTGAATAGATTTGAAATAGAAATTAATCATAGTAAATTGGTAATAATAATAATAATAATAAAATTATAATAATAAATATATTTTCATTTAAAGTTTATTTTCTTTCTTTGAATATGATATTTGAAGTTGAAAAAAAAAGTGTCAATATATTTAATAAAAATAAATAAAAATAATAAAATATAAAAATTTATTATTTTGATGGATCTAATTACATATTATTTCTAAAATTCATCCTTAATATATCTCACTTAAACTGAATGATGCCATTGATGCCATTTCATAATATGTTAGAAAAGCTGTAGAAGAACGTCTAGTAATAATTTCAAAGCATATGGTTTCTGCGTTAATGGTAAGATACTTATGGGGTAACATATAAATTTTGTGTAACATGATCATCTGGGAACAAAAGGCTGAATATGCATAAATACGTCATAATTCTTTATGATTTTTAGAAGGTATTGAGGCGGCACGAAAATAGCCGGAGTCACGGGGGATGATGGAGGATGATATGTGTCACTATTTGGATGAATTATCTTTGTGTGTCATCCATCATCCAGGATAACTGTTTATTCATCCTGGCACAAAAACGTTTTTATGGATAACAGAGGATGAAGGTAAACAAGTAGAAAAATTATAAAATAACTGCGGTAGGGAAGGAAGAAAAAGGAGATTTTCCCTCTCGCGAAACTTTTAAAATTCATATAATATTTTACCTTGACAACAATAATTTCTTTATACATTTTTAATAACAAAATAATTTCGTAACAATCCTAATAATTCATAATTACTTTTCTTATGTTTTTATAATAAATAATTCCTCAAATAATACTAGTAATAATAAATACAAATAGTTTTGAAATAGTCTTAATAATAATAAATAATTTTTGTAATAGTTTTAATTTTTAATAGTAATAAATAATTTCGTATATTGGAATAACAATAGAGATAAGACACGCCAACGCAGTGATATATCTCTATTGATATATTTTTGTAATAAATTTTCATAATTCTTTTAATAAACTGTTTTATAATTCTTGGCAAGTTACTTCAAAAAGTCTGTTAAATTTCGGTAGTGTACAAAGCATATAGTAAAGATACTTTTACTTCACTTGCTTACTGTACCTTCAGATATTACACGTAATTGCATTGTTTGTGAGTGTTAGTAAGCAGGTTTAGATCAACTGATTGCCTGTCTTGCTGTGTTTTAGGATATTGCGCACAAGAGAAAGTGTGTTAGTAGTACATTGAATTATCATGTGATTGACCCAAATTTATTGAGACTGATTGGCTTAACTTTCCACTTGTTCTGCGCAGACCGCAACAGTACACACAAAACACAATCAGAATTTCGTGTTACGATGGCAATTACAAGTTAGTTTCAATTTTGACCAATCATAATTAGCATTTGAATTTTATCACATAGCATTTAATATTTTTTTTTTAAAAAAAAAATTGTCAAAAATGGCAGAAAAAGTACAGTTTAACCTCGAGCAAATGATACTTGAACTCAAGGATTTGGCAACGAAGGGCATTTTACGAAAGCTCATATAAGCATTTCAACACAATTATGGCAACCCTAATTCCAAGCTACTCGTGTTTTTTTAATAATAAATTAATAAATAAATGTGTGTATATATATATATATATTTAAAAGATATTATTAAAAAACTATCAAATTTTGAATACGCATTGAAAAGAGGACCAACTCAAGTAAAATATTTTTTGAATTTGGAAGAATTACGTAAAAAGAGAAAAGATCGTTTAGGTAAATTATATTATGAAAACAAGAGTTAGTTGCAATTTTTAAAATGAATTTATTTTAAATTGATAATTTATTATTAATAATAATTATTTTGTAAAGGCATAAATGGAAAAACTGCGATATCCGCATCAACCAAATATTTATGACCGTGTCGTCAAAATTCTAGTGTTGACACATTCTTACGGCATCAGTATATAAATTTGCCAAATCATCGGGGGCAGGAAAATTATCAAAGGTAAATATTGAAATTATTGTGAGATATAATAATTAACATTAATATATTTCATTTGTGATGATATAATTTAATTGATAATAATTTGATCATTAATAATCGTTATTTTTACATTTATAGAGCAATCCAGATAAGCTAACGTTTTATGGGAATTTAAAACGAATAAAATATTATATTAGCAAGAGTTATTTTTCAATATCATGCGGTTCTTAGATTATTGGATATTTACTGTATTGGATAATAATAATATTATTAATAATAATTTTATATATGATTAGTATTGATGCAACGAGAAGAGGCTTACGGATGAAAGGAATATTTTATATTGGAGTCATCATATGTTAATAAGATTAAAGCTCGCCGTGTAATAATTTATTAAAACCAATTAATAAACGAAAGAAGAGGTCGAGACCGAACCTAATAATATGGACGATTCGATGATGGTAGATAATAATTAATTAGAATGAAATAATTCCAATAATTATTGATTATAGTAATCATGATAGTAATCATAAGTAGCAATAATTATAATAATGACGACGACGATGATGATGATGATAATGGTGATGATGGTGGTGATGATGATGATGATGATGATGATGATGATTGATGATGATGATGATAATGATAGTGTTGATGATGTTGACAATGATAGTGTTGATGACGATGGACGAACAATAGGAATCATAGCAAAGATTGTATTCTCAAATGCTATAAAAGGTAAGAAAATATATATTTTGAGCATTCATTTAAATTTAACCACAATTAATCACAGTAATTTTTTTTTAAACTATTAAGTCTTCGAAAAGAATTTATTGATATTTGTTGTCGATACTCTGGTACGCTTTCAATTGTTGAATATAAAGGTAAATTAACAACTTTAATGTATAAAATTATTTATTTCGAGAACAATGTTTATAGATATACATATTTATCATCATCATCATCATTATCATTATTATTGATTTGTAAAATATTGCAAAAGACTTTAGAAACCAGATCATTTTTTGTTGAAAGATACGTTTTTGATTTTGATGTACAGTAAATAATCTTGCTAGAAAAAAACTGTTGAAGAATCGGTAAGAATTGGAAGTTGGTAGCAAAACGATTATATTTTTTACCGAGTTTCCCAGAGTATCATTGCACAAATCTCCACGAGTAACATTGGTAATTATATTATTCAATTGTTCACTTATGTGATTTGGACAATTTATTATTATTTTTTTATCGATTTCAATTTTCTTTATTTTTTTTTGACAGCGAAATTATTTGGCAAGACTATTATCAAAGACCTATTTTAGGGTCTTTCATACAAATATGTCCTCGCGAATGAATTAACTGGATCTTGGTAGAGAATTAATCTGAAGAATCAAAATTCGATTCAATAAGCACTTCTAAAAGCTACGGAACTTTTCCTTCATAGTACTGATTTGTGGCTAAGAAGAATTAATTTTAGTAGAAGATAATTCGTTAGAACAAGTAATCCCACTTTCCAAGATTTATGGAATTCATATGTCACATGGAATGGGAGATTAATGAATTTAAAAACAAAAAAAAAGGATCTTGGTTAGTTTTAAATCATCAATTATATTAATCTTATTATCAATCTTTTTTGAAATTTTTTAAAGAAATACTTATGTTTATTACTTGTCAGAATTAAATAATATATAATGATCTTTCGAAAAAATAATAAAATAATTATTACTTATTTCCTTTTCGGGAAAAGAATGTAACTTTTTCCTATTTTGTGGAACACGTGAATTTTTTTGTTGGCTCAAAATTAAAATGAATAAATTACTACAAAATTAAATGACAAATAAATTATATTTTCCATGAAAAATTTACAATTTCATATTTTCTTTTTGATTTATTATCATTAATATAAATAGATTTTTAAATATCATATCAAAAAATTAATAAATATTGCTTTATA